ATAAGCTAAAATCAAGCTTTTTATTTCTTAAACAAAGCAGCAGTCAGTTTAGATTAAAGTGAATGGTATGCAGCAATTTTATTTCTGCCAAAAAACAACCAGCTCTTTTGCCTTTTGCTTTTTTCCTGACAGCATGTTTTGTGTCACTGAATGTTCCGACCTACTAGGAATCAGTGTCGCTACTTCTATAGTTGCAGATTCATTAGAAAACTCAGCTGGATGCTTTCGAAGGAGAACAGATCTTGACGATAACCGTCACATCCCTCTAAATAAAAAGGCCTCACTAGGTTCCTTTAATAAAAAGAAAAACAAATTACCGTGCATTTCAAAATTGTTAGATTCAGACATAATAACTCGGGACTGAAAACAAATGCGTTTGCATCTGAAGCTCCTATTGGTGTCATGGAGCTCTCATCTTTGTAATAAGCACACAGAAATAACGGAGGTTTAAGGAACACAGTGGGAATTAACTCTGACTAGCTAACATTCTCTTAAACTGGTTTTTAATGGCACGTTTTCTGCTACACAAAATGCAATTGATTTCATATGGGTATTTTAAACTGAACATTAAAATAACAGTTGCAGTGACAATCTCTCATTATTTTACCATCAAAGGGACAAAACTAGAGATTATTTGAAATTTGAGTATGCCTGTTTATATTGTTTTTTTTACTTATGACCATCCAAATTCTACCAAGCTCTTAAATAGATTTTCATGTGCTGTGGTATTTGTTCCATAGCAGTTAAAGGGCAACAGGTAATCACCGATAGGTAAAGCAAGCCATGAAGTAGAGGGTGAAGTTGGCCATGTCATACAATCAGTTTTAAATCTATCTACAACTATAAAGTGAGAGGGCCTACCTAAACAATTCATACCACTTAAAGCAGTTCTCCAGTCTCCTGTGAAAAAATACAAAAACTGTAGCTGCTGACTTAAAAAACAGCCACTCATCTGTCCCATGATCTATCAGTGTGCTCACCCCAGCCAGGTTCACCTGCAGTCTTCTGTCCCCAGTGTCGGCACCTTAACTGTGGCAACGTGACAGCTTGCGGCTCCACAGCCGGGTGCCCAATGCACATGCACGAGCAGCGCTGCACATTGTGAATGGTCCAGCAGTCCTCTGGGACCTGTCACGTGTCCCAGAACACTGCAGGGAGGGACGGGGAGGAGAATTTCAGTTACCGATCACCTAGTCGGTCAGAGCAGGAGTGGGAGTGGGTACCTGTCAAACCCGGGTACCCGCTATTCCCTCCCCCACCCCCTCCACCCAAAGGTGCCAATTCAAATTCTTCTCTGGCAGCAGGAGACAATTCCTTAAAGTGGAACTTCCCCTTTTGGGTGGAGCTCCATTTTAAATCCAAACAACTAGATTCTTGAACTATGCAAGTATTAAGGAAATCAAGAGGAGATTGTAACCCAGGTTGTAACTTGGTGTAGCCAGAGTGTGATTCAAATACTTGTCTGTTAAGCAGAATGAGTGGATACTTCTTAATACTATTAGGGTCCATTTACATGGAAATGCAAGGTAAAACTAGTCTTTTACTGCTTGCCCTTTTTTTCCTTTGTTCTTGGCAGAAAAAAACAGTGTTTAGGAGCATTTAGCGTTTTTTTTCTGCAGGAAAAACACTCTCAAAAATGATAAAACAGAAGGGTTTTTTTTCTGCCTCTAAACACTGAGCTTAAAAAAGTCTTTAAACCACTTAATGTGCAAGGACACATAGGGTAACATTAGTTGCTCCTACAGGCAAAATGCTAAACTCCTCTAGAAGCAGTATTTTTTTAAGCCAGTGTGCATGGAGCCTCAAAGTGAATGGGCTGCCTTAATATAGCATGCCTTAATCTGTCGTGTTATGCTTGTTAAGGTAACAGTGGGCAGCACAGTGGCTAAATGGTTAGCACTTCTGCCCGGCAGTACTAGGGTCATTGGTTCGAATCCCAGTCACGGCACCACCTGCCTGGAGTTTGCATGTTCTCCCTGTGCCTGCGTGGGTTTCTTCCGGGTACTCCGGTTTCCTCTCACACTCCAAAGACATGCTGGTAGGCTAATTGGATTCTGTCTTAATTGGCCCTAGCATGTGTATGTATGAATGTAAATTAAGGACCTTAGATTGTACACCCCTTGAGGGTTAGGGACTGATGCGAATATATAATATATATGTAAAGCGCTGCGTAAATTGACGGCACTATATAAGTACCTGAAATAAATAAAATAAATAACAGACAGTGAAAATGGGCCCTAAAGGTGTACAGTTACCCAAAAACCTTATAAAGCAGCTGTCCAATATAGTAGGTCTGGATGTGATTTGCATTCACCTACATTTACTAGGGCTCATATTAAGATCAACAAATGGTGGTAACCTCTACAGTGAAATCAGATGTCTGTATAGACTTGATAAGTAGCATTTACCAGAATCAAGCATATAGGTGTAAAAATGTTTACTGTCACACAGACACCAAATGTTTGTGGTATGTGAATGCTCAGTTTAAATTTGGATTTCACAGCTTTCAATAGCCTAGCCAGCTCTCATTTTGGTATACACTCCTGTGCAGAAATACATTTTCTGTCTTTCTGTATAAACACCATTATAAACTATTAATTCCCTGAGTTCTATTAACTAGTGTGCCTATGAAAGGGCACTCTGAGTAGCTGAGTAAATGTAGTGACCTGTAAACACATTTCAGATGTTATTATCACTTTAATATCCTCATTGCCTGTACAAGTTATTATTAAGTAATTAACTAAGGGTCTCTGATAAGGAAAAACAGCCTTTTAGATAACAGCAGTCATTTGCTACAATCTGACTCTGTACTTTTCATTAACACTAATTAGAGATAATTAAACTGTGGGTTTTTTTTCCCATCCCGTGATGTGCTAACTTGCAAGAAACTCATACAGCAAATTAAATAGAATGTACAGGAGATGACAAAAGTGGCATAATGATTCAATGTAAAAGTAGAGAAATGTAAAAGTCCAGTGCTTGCTAAGCAGTTCACATAACCCAGGACAGAAACGTGGATCAGAATAGCTCTGTACACAGAGGCACTCAGTGAGGCATTTGCTAAATTGTATATGACCTATAGCATTAGCCAATCCACTACTTATTCTCCTGAATTCTTCTCCAAGCAGGTTTCCCTGTTCAGGAGAGAGCTGCAGCACAGAATGATGATGATGATCTGATTCTCTGTTTTTAGTTGTGTCCAGCAAACTGAAGCCTTACATTTAAAATATGAATTGTCCTGAGAAAAACTGTATCCGTAAGTTCAAAAGAAGGTATAATGTTTCCCCAGCAGGTGGCACTGTGGGTGGAGCCTGTGATCGCTCTTTCTAGTCCTGAAAAAATTGAGCTATGGGCCCTGAATGCATAGAGTAGTCATAAGCAATAGGGGAGTCATAGCTTGCAAATTTTAATCCAAATTCCTTGTTTGTTTTCTGAGTTTGTACAATCAATATATTTTTTTTCTGTTTGAGTAGGTAGTAATGAATTACTTAAATCATAATTGTTTATATATTGTGTATATTAAACATTTCAAATCAAAATATTTCCTAAGGTGCTTGAAAGTGGTTTTTATTTCACATAGAGGGAAAATGATGTGTTACCTTCTTTTTCTGGAGTAAGTTTTTGTCTCAGCAGATGGTTCACTATGGCACTCATACAGGTGTAGCACTGCTGACCAGCAGTATTCCAGTTCATACAGCTCAGTATACCTATGGCCTCATCTACTTCACCATAACGGAGGTACTGTGAAATCAGCTCCACTGGGCCCAACTCTCCTTTTGATACAGCACCTTTTAAAGTAACAACAAAGCCAATGTTAACAAATAGTAAAAAGGTATTAAATGGAAAATGTGGTTCTAAAGCATGGATTTTATTTACTTACATCTTCTAAAAATTCATGGTACAGTTTTGACAGTTTACACATGTATCCCAAATATTTCATTTTAGGTTCTAAGATACCTGAAACAATTCACTTCTCCTGCACATATGCAATATTGCCAAAAGTATTGGGTTGTCTGCCTTCACACGCACAGTCTTAGTCCGTAGGGTTCAATATTGAGTTGGTCCACCTTTTGCAGCTATAACAGCTTCAACTTTTCTGGGATGGCTGTCCACAAGGTTTAGGAGTGTGTCTATGAGAATGTTTGACCATTCTTCCAGAACTGCATTTGTGAAGTCAGGCACTGATGTAGGACGAGAAAGCCTGGCTCGTAGTCTCCGCTCTAATTTATCTATGAGGTGTTCTATCAGGTTGAGGTCAGGACTCTCTGCAAGCCAGTCAAATTTCTCCACTCCAAACTAGCTCATCCATGTCTTTATGGATCTTGCTTTGTGCACTGGTGCACAGTCATGTTGAAACAGGAAGGGGCCATCCCCAATCTATTCCCACAAAGTTGGGAGCATGAAATTGTTGAAAATGTCTTGGTATGCTGACGCCTTAAGAGTTCCCTTCACTGAAACTAAGGGGCCAAGCCCAACCCCTGAAAATTAACACCCTCACCATAATCCCCCCCCCCCCACCAAACTTTACACTTGGCACAATGCAGTCAGGCAAGTACTGTTCTCCTGGCAACTGCCAAACTCAGACACATCCATTGGATTGCCAGACAGAGAAGCGTGATTCGTCACTCCAGAGAACACGTCCCCACTGCTCTAGAGTCCAGTGGCAGTGTGCTTTACAAAACCGCATCCAGAGCTTTGCATTGTACTTGGTGAAGTAAGGCTTGGATGCAGCTGCTTGGCCATGGAAACCATTTTCATGAAGCTCTCTATGCAGTGTTGTTGTGTTAATCTGAAGGTCACACGAAGTTTGGAGGTCTTGAGCTATTGACTGAGCAGACAGTTGGCAACTTCTGCGCACTGTGTGCTTCAACAAGCGCTGACCCCATTCTTTCATTTAACGGGCCTACCATTTAATGAGTTGCTCTTGTTCCCAGTTGCTCCCACTTTGTTATATCACTAACAGTTGACTGTGGAATATTTAGTAACAAGAGGGAGGTAACCTATCACGGTACCACACTTGAATTCACTGAGCTCCTGAGAGTGACACATTCTTTCATAAATGTTTGTAGAAGCAGTCTGCATGCCTAGGTGCTTGATTTTATACACCTGTAACCATGGAAGTGATTGGAACACCTGAATCCAATGATTTGATTTTTGCAATACAGTGTATTTAGCCATTGGTCAGTAGATCATGGCAAAAATTGTGGTTCCTCAAGAATAAAACTTGCATATACCTGTATATGAAATGACCAAAAAACAGCCAAGCCTAGCCTGCAACTCTGGTCTGAACTCCTTCCAGCTTATCCAGAGCTTAGCCATTGTGATGAGCAGACTGTTGAAAAACCATATCTGGTTGAAAGAAGCTGGTCTGGTTATTGTGGTAAGTTGGAATCATTACCAAACAAATAAAAATACAATTCAAATTCTGCAAACTTTTCCAAGGACAAGCTAAGAAAATTATGCTGTCTGATACCAGACCTGTCAACAGTTAAAACGGAACTAAACCCACCAATGTAACTGTTTCCCAAAACAGAAACATTCAAGACATGCCTTGAATAATAACTTTTACATTTATCAGTGTGCTTACGTTAGCTTTCAACCGAACTGTCTAGCCGTCAAAGGGCTGGTGTCATGGCTGATCACATGTGCAGTACCATGGCAACTGCAGATCAAACAGAGGCTAAGATGGGAACTCCCTTAGCTTTAAAGTATGGGGGGGTTTAGTTCCACTTTAAAACTACTTTCTTCAGCCATAATGTGATATCCAAATATAAGCATGGCCCTGTGCCTCACCCTATAATTCAAGTGGGGAAAAAGTAATAAATTACTTAGAAATCAATCAGTGCAATCTACAAGCCAGTTCATAATTATAAGGTGTCACAAAATATTTCCTTTTGCCTCCTTTAAAGCTACCTGGTTCCTGGGTTCATCCATTCCTGTATAGATCACACAAAATGTTCTGGTCCTAAAGATCAGCCTGCTCTGTCTGCAACTTTGCCGCTTATAGCCCATTAATAGACCCTGGAGAACACTAAAAACCTTTCAGCTGGTGACCCCTGCTCCAACTGTCTGGACAACACCTTTATGTTCTCTTTTCTACATTGTTGTATCTTTTTATAATTAATTTAGAGACACTGCTACTGCATTTAAATGATTGGTGTTAGGAACACAACTGGAATATACTAGATAATGAATGTTAGTATATGGCAGTTGAATTCATTCGAAAAGTAACAATTTGTTCCACATAAACTGGTTTCACAAATGACATCACATTTGTCTAATATCTAAAGCAGGGGTTTTATTTGCAGTTTAGCTGTTCATGGTACTTGCTCTCATTGGCAAAGACCAGAACCAGAAGGCTTGTAAAATAATAAGGAAGGGATTTATTATTTATCAGTCGATGCATCCCCAAAGTCAATTGATCTCATTAACAAGGACAGTCCAGTCAGAGAACTGCTTAACCTTATTAGAGTGACACAGAAGAGACAGTAACCAAAAATCAGTAACGATCCAATGTAACTGTTTTCTGACTTTAAATAATGAATCGACAGAGAAAAAAAGCACTCTTCCTTGGTAAAAGAAATGCTTTATCTAAATGCAAACAATGAATTTTAAAATATGGCAAATCTCAAATGGTTGAGGTGAAACATCTTTCCCCCTTTAGATGCTTGACCTCTCTTGATGGTACACTTCTTGGGAGAAAGAGGTGACAGGCAACTTGTAGCCTAATTGATTTAAGAACAGTGCCTTGGGAGGCAGTCCAATTAAATTTACAAGATAGCAATTAGCTGGAAGGCCTCTAAATCCCTGCACAGTGCCTATTCTGGCCTGAATGAGAACACAAATGTACTGGAGATAGCAAGTCAAGGGCCTTTTTTTTTATTAACCAAAGCTGTTGTGAGCGATGTCACAGGGGACAGTGTAAAGTGTACTGTAAAAGTAAAGTGATTTACAGGACTTTTTAAGGCAATGTAAATCTATTAGTTTAGTTTACTGTATAATTTACAAATATAACAATAAGTAAAGCTGGCCATAGATGGATTGAAATTTGACTGTTTTAGCAGGGACAGGCCGATTTCGATCCACATATGGGCAGGCTGGTTGTACAGAAGTCAATCTCTCGATCGACCTTTGTACAACCAGCTTGATGGGGTTTTTTTTTTTTTTTGGCTTGATCAGTGCCACTGGTTTTAGCTGGCAACACTGATGACTGTATTCTGACAGCAGGGAACTCTCCCCGCTATCAGAATACAATAGTTCCACTGGAGGGGTTCAAACTATTTTTTTTCTCAACCCGCATCATCTATGACCTACCTAAGTCTGATAATCTGTAAAACACAACAGTGGTTCTGAATTGTGCTATGCAAGCTGGTGAGACTTTGCAAGAACAAAATAAAAATTTAAATTTAATTTAAATTTTAAAAACTTGCCATTAAGGACTCTCCAGATATGTGTACAGGACCTGGTCTCATCATCTATACCAGGGGTCTGCAACCTTTAAGACATAAAGAGCCACTTGGACCCGTTTCCGAGAGGGAAAAAAAGACTGGGAGCCGCAAAACCATTGCAACATTTAAAACAAATCCGACACTGCATATATTGCAAAAAGCGCTCTGGTCATGAAGGGGGTTTAAGGGCCCAGTAAGCAAAGGGTTAATCAGGGCCACAGTGTATCGTCATAATCACAATCATAGCCTTAGGTCAGTGGTGGGCAACCTTTTTTTTCAACTGAGCCAAATCTCGCCAAAACCACGATTGAAATTTATTTTGAGAGCCACATTTTTAAAACTGAAAATACATCCCCCATATAGTAATTCATCCCCCATAGTAATTCATCCCCCATATAGTAATTCATCCCCCATATAGTAATTCATCCCCCCTATAGTAATTCATCCCACCTATAGTAATTCATCCCCCCTATAGTAATTCATTCCCCATATTGTGTCAATTCACTTACCTTTGCTCCGCGTGTTCCTCTCGCCGTGTTCCCGCGCCGTTCCGGTCTTCAGGGCGGACTGTGAGAGGAGAGGAGTTCGTCACGCTGCCCCGCCTACATCCTGACAGCCAATGTTTGCCACGCTCCGCGGGCCGGAATTAAAAGGTCCGCCGGGCCGTAGTTTGCCCATTGCTGGGCTAGCTGCAGAGTCCTGACTTTTGGGGCGGCCGCCCGAGAGGAGGGAGGGGAGCGGGCGCCCGGCACACAGAAGAGCCGCATTAAAATGTGTAAATAGCCGTGGCTTGCCGACCACTGAGCTACAGCAACCCTATTGCCTGTCACCTGGTGGGCAGTGTGCTCCGGTGCCGCAGCAAAGGTGAAAAAGAGCCGCATGCGGCTCTGGAGCCGCGGGTTGCCGACACCCGATCTATACAGTAATTAGTGTTAAACCTTTGTTTTCTGCAACATGGACTTTTGTGGGGTCAGTTTAAACAAAATGTAATATGCAGTGAAAGACTGTTACTTTTTTTCCTGACACACCGAGAAGATGCTGAACTGAGGATATTGTTCAAAGAAGATCAACAAGGGCAATCTGGAGGTTAATTGTGGAACAAACAAAATGGATGGAGAAAACAGGATTTTGGACTTACTGTAAAATCCTTTTCTTGGAGTTCCTTAATACCCTGGTCACATCAGGTGCAACTTGGCATGCGATTTGCATATCATATGCCATGTCACACCCTATTGTCCGTAAGTAGAGCGTCAAATCAGTGCGATTTCTAAAGTAGTACAGGAGCCGCACCGATTTCTAAAGTAGTACATGTACTACTTTTGGTGCGATTTGCATTGACATCAGTGTCAGATGTTTCACAAATTGCACCTGAAATCGGCATCTCACCTGTCTTTGAAATCGTGCTTGATGTGACTGGGGTGTTAAGCATAAGTTCACCTTTCTGAATATGTTACATGTTGCACCCATATTTAGGGTGTAAAATGTAACATGTTTAGCCTCACACCCCTCTCCCCCTGATCCCCCCTTCCTTGTGGCAGCAAGCCAGGGATCTTCTCCCTTTACTCACCACCACAGTCCAAAGAGATTTCTGTGAATTAATGAACTACAAGTACAGACAGCCTTTGCAGCTGTCAGCTTGTAGTTTTCAATGAACTACCATGGCTCTGTTGAGAACTGTGGTAGTTCATTCATTCTTCCTCCCAGTGTAAAACCGTCTGCTCATACGGGGTACAAGCAACAGATTACACTGACAGTCTGCAGGAGACCTGCATGGCACCAGCGATCAAAATATGCTTTACTTTGCTTTACAGGCTCTTAAAACAAAAATAGTAAATGCCCATTTTTTTACGTGCAAAAAAGTGTGCATTTATTATTTTTTTGCAAAAAGGTGAACTTATCCCTTAAATGACAATTTCTAAGATTTACAGGTTACACTACTGCCTAAAGGAGAATAGGACACTGGCATGCCAAGGGCTGTTAGTGAGTGAGCTATAACTCCTTCCACTCCCATCATGCTTTGGTTTCTTGCTAGTGTCTTTTGTGAATGGACTTCTTTTCTCCTCAAAGAAAGTAAAGGCTCCCTGACTTGCCTGACATTCAGGACACTTCCTTATGGTCTAGAAGATTTTCACAATAAATGCCAGCTTGACAGGCCCTGGACAACCTTTTGGTTAAGCAGACTTGGTTGCCAGAGGCAACGTCTCCTGATCAACATACTGCAGTTATGAGAGATTCGGTTATCCCTTTAACACTGAACCTCTAAACTGTAAAAGGAACCAATGACTGAATATTTTGTATATTGCACCTGGATAGAGTATAGTTATTCATATTCACTGCACTGTAAAATATAAATTGGGAGAATTTACTAAAACTGGCACAGACTGGATCAAAACCAGCTGGGCATAGTAACCAGTTTCTAACATAAGCCTTTTCAGTTAAACTGTCACTAAATAAAATCCTTATTCTTCAAAAATAATTCATACACATCTGCTACTTAATGGTCCCGTAATCTATTATCATTAAGTTTCTCACTGTGTTTTTAATGTATAGCCTTCTGTGAACTCCCAAACCACTCCTTCTCCCCTTCACGTCTGTGTATTTGGGATGAGCAGCACACGTTAGTTACTGCTCTTTGCACACTACCAATCC